GGCCCCACCAGCCCCAACCTGCTGCCCAGCCCCGGGGACTCCAGCAGCAGCGTGTGTGGTGGGGAGGGCGAGGGGGACGCGGTGCCTCGGTTCTGCGTGTAATTAAAAGCGGTGATTTCTCCCAAGGTGGTACGGCTCAGGGGTTTGCTGCGTGGGCGTGGGGCTTGTTGGGCGCTCGGGGCCAGGTCTTTCACGGTCTGACTGCGGGACTGGGACAACTCACCCCGCTGCTGGCTTGGGTCTGGCAGTGCCGCGCAGATGTGGGGATGCCGCCTTTGCACGGTGCTCCGGGACCCGGCTAATTAATTCTCGATGGCAGCCGATCTCCAGAGGTTTGCAGTGGCGCACTAATTAGGCACAGAACAGTGCACGGTACCTCTGCAGCTCCAGCCTTTTTCACACGCGGTGTTTCCCTTCTCCTTATGGCACCGTGCCCCAAGGTTAATTTACATTTGGTGCTGCCCGTTCCCAGCGTCCGGGCAGCCCGTGCCCAGCGGCACGGTGCGGTTTGGCCACCGCAGACTTCTTGGTGGCTGGGAGAGGCTCATCCCGCTGGGAGAGAGGTGGCTGGCTCATTATCCCGGGAGATGCTAAGAGCCTTTGCTAATGAGTTTATATTTGCCAGGCGCTTAGGGCTGGCTTTCAGGAGGAAAGTGATGAGATTAGCTCCTCTAACCCGATGCTACGCCTGCCCACGCCGTCCTGACAGTGAGCACATATGCCCGTTAAAGCCCACAATATGGAGCGTGGATGGCACAAACAGGGCTCCCCTCACGCAGGCCGTAGCGGCGAGCGAGCGGTACGTGAATGCCAGCGGAGGAGCCTTCAACAGCATCACGGCCGACGAGCAGATCCCCTCCGTCCTCGTGGGCGAGATCGTCATGACCGCCTTCCTGATCTTCGTGGCCTGCATGGGCGCTTTCAATGGGAAGACCAAGACCGCGCTGGCCCCTTTCTGCATCGGCTTCACGGTCACGGCCGATATCCTGGCGGGGTGAGCTCGCGAGTCCTCTCCCTGTGCGTGTTCCCACCGGCCAGCCGGTGCCCTCCGCTCC